GGACAGTACACAGAGAAGAGGATTTATCTACACAAGTGAGTGAGAGGGAGGGAGGGAGAGGGAGTAATTAGTTATTAACACAACTGTCACAGCTATGAATAGAGAGATGAATGAATGAACTGCAAAAGTTGGAGGCTTTGTTCAAATCTTAACAGTCTTACAATGTAACTTGTAATTCAAGCCAAATATGCTATTTGATTGTAAACAGTATCATTTATTAGCATAGAATTCTATTTTTCTTCTCCCTCTCTCTCAGTCGGCTTCCCACTTGGGTTCAATCTATGCTGCCAAGAGTATTTTACATAATAGAGAAGTCCTGGAATTATTATCCTTATACTCTGACAGGTCAGTTTAATTCCTGCATGTGCGCCCTGTGATTGTAACCTCCTGGAAACAGGATATCATTACTGTATTGTACTTCCTTTTCTACTTTGTATGCAACTGTCGTCATTGTCACCATCATTTACATCATCAATAATCCTATTACATCACTGGTCCATCCTGATGTTGTGGCTATGTCTGCAGAATATACAGTAAATCATTATTATACACACAGGACACATTAGTAGTAATAACATTGTAATGTGTCACTCATACACGCATAAGTGCATTACAAAAGGAAGAGGGTAGATAAGAATGAAGAGATTGAGAGGAAGATGTTATAGTCTTGTAGATTGGCATAAACATACAAAGAAGTTATGCACATCCTGTTATGGTAAAGACAAATGTTTTTACTGTCTCTCTCTTCTTCTCTCTCAGTGCTCATTCTTACCTCGATTCCTCATTCAAATTGATACCACTTATCAAGACAACAATGGGTCCTCGGAGAACGCCCTGGACCTTGCCCCTGACCTGCTGGAGCAGAGAGAGGTCGATCACGTCGATATCTTGAGTGACGAGTTTTCGTCCCGTGAAACAACTCCCGAGGAGGACTGTCACGCTTTTGTATCCAGTAAAACAGGACGAGGCCCACTGCAGGAAGGATGGAAGGTTAGTTTGTCTGATTTAAAACCAAACATAACGAAAATGAAGACCACCATAATTTATCTCTTGTTATTAAAGTCAATTGTGACAAACTCAGAATGCTATTAATCCTGCAATGTTTCACTTTTGATTTGCTTATAACCTATTATAAAGGTGTTTGTCCTATTTTCAAACTTCATCTTTCCCACCTCTAATATTTTCACTTATAGACACGTTTTGTTATTCATACATTCCAATCTCTTAACACACACACTTCCTTTGTATGTCCTCAGGAGTCAACAGAACCAATCATGTGCTCATACAAAGCTGTTAAAGTTTTCTTTGAGGTGTGGGGGCTACAGACTCGTGTTGAGGCTGGCGTTCATAGAGTGAGTTATTATAAGCTAATCCATCAATCACTGCCTCTTTCCTGTAATACATACTACATCTCAATTATTGTCCTTTCTTCCTTACAGGCTGTTAGAGATATCATCTTGAAAGGGCACAAGCAAGCTTTTCTATGGATAGATGAGTGGCATGGTCAGTCAGTTACAAGACTAGATTCAAAGTTCCAAGCACTATAATTGTATTAGCATCAATTAAACTTCAATTTCTTGTATTTCTATTCTTGTAGGACTAACAATGGAGGATATAAGAGAATATGAGAGAAAGGTACACGAGGAGACCAACAGGATGGTGCTGTCAAATGGAACAGGAGCTGTAGCTGATGGAGCTACTCCTTAACATCAAAAGGACTCACTTACAATTAATAATTATTGTTTTATTGACACCATACTGATAAAAAATAATTATTTTCTTGTTATTATACATCACTCGCTTGTTATCTCTTCTTTACTGTTGTAAAGTTTTAATTATTATTATAATAGAAATACCACAATTAATAATAATAATAATACACAGTGTAGAGGAAGAGATGAAACAAAATAATAATAAAGAGAGAGAGAGAGCTGAGCACTAATGAATAATGAAGAGAAGGAACGTATGAATGAAGAAATGAACCCAAAATGAGAGAGAGAGAGAGAGAATATGAGTGTGTGTGTACATGTTAAGCCATTGCATTGCAATAAACACTGAATGGTTTGTATCACAATAGGGCCCACACAGACACACACACACGTGCCATGCAAGAAA